CTGTGTCATTGAATCACTCATTGAAAGGGGCGTGTTCAAAATAATAGCAGTGTGGAGTTCTATTAGTGACGTCATTCATTCTTTGAAAAACAGGTGGCAATTATTGCCCTTATTTAAGGAAGGAAGGCAGCAAATGTTGTCCATGCTGGTTACAGTGCATTTCTCTCTGAAATTCTGAGGAAAATGGGTCGTTCCAGACATTGTTCAGAAGAACAGTGTACCTTGATTAAAAAGTTGATTGGAGGGGAAAACATATAAAGAAGTGCAGAAAATGATCGGCTGCTCAGCTAAAATGATGGCAAATGCTTTAAAATGGCAACCAAAACCTGAAAGACGTGAAAGAAAGCGAAAAACTACCATTGCAATGGATAGAATAGCCAAAAATGGGGCGGACTCAGCCAACAATCAGCTCCAGGAAGATGAAAGAAGGTGTGACGTTCCCTGTGAGGACTGTTACAATTAGAAGACGCCTATGTGAAGCCAAGCTATCTGCAAGAAGCCCCCGCAAAGTCCCCCTGTTGGAAAATGTGCTGAAGAGGTTACAATCTGCCAAAGAGCACATTGACTGGTCTAAAGAGGCAACATTTTGTGGACTGATGAAAGTAAGATTGTTCTTTTTGGGTCTAGTGGGCGGAGACAGTTTGTCAGACGACCCCCAAACACTGAATTCAAGCCACAGTACACTGTGAAGACCGTGAAGCATGGTGGTGCAAGCATCATGATATGGGGATGTTTCTCATACTACGGTGTTGGGCCTATTTATCGCATACCAGGGATCATGGATCAGTTTGAATACATCAGAATACTTGAAGAGGTCATGCTGCCTTATGCTGAAGAGGAGATGCCCTTGAAATGGGGTGTTCCAACAAGACAACGACCCCAAACACACCAGTAAACGTGCAACATCTTGGTTCCAGACCAACAAGATGGACGTTATGGAGTGGCCAGCCCAATCCCCGGATCTTAATCCAATAGAAAACTTGTGGGGTGACATCAAAAATGCCGTTTCTGAGGCAAAACCAAGAAATAGAGAAGAACTGTGGAATGTGGTCCAATCATCCTGGGCTGGAATACCTGATCACAGGGGCCAGAAGTTGGGGGACTCCATGCAACACAGATGTACAGCAGTTCTCATAAACAGTGCGACTACAACCAAATATTCATGAAGTCATTCAAAGGAAAGCAAAATCTTCAAACATTTCTCAGTTTATATAGTGAATGTTTGAGTTTGTAAATAAGAATACAAACACTGCGATTTTTTTGGAACCGTCTAATATTCACTTTTCTTCAATTTTTTTAGAGGAACAACACAAATTTGATGTATTTTTCTTCATGTTTTCATTTGGAATAGAATGTGTCGTGTTCCCAATGCATTTGTGTGGATGGAAATAAAAGCTATTAGAAGGATTTTGAGCTTTATTCACTTTTTTCAACACACTGCTATTATTTTGAACACAACTGTATATTGTACATTCACCTCAGTCCCTAACCCTCAAGGGGCGTACAATCTAAGGTCCCTAACTCACATTCATACATACACATACTAGGGATGATTTAGACAGGAGCCAATTCACCTACCAGCATGTCTTTGGAGTGTGGGAGGAAACTGGAGTACCCGGAGGAAACCCACAGAGGCAGAACATGCAAACTCCAGGCAGGTAGTGCCGTGGTTGGGATTCAAACCAACAACCCTAGTACTGCCAGGTGGAAGTGCTAACCATTTAGCCACTGTGCTGCCCCCTTTTTATTTATTTATTTATTTCAGGTACTTATATAGCGCCATCAATTTATGCAGCACTTTACATATATATTGTACATTCACATCAGTCCCTAACCCTCAAGGGGCGTACAATCTAAGGTCCCTAACCCTCAAGGGGCGTACAATCTAAGGTCCCTAACCCTCAAGGGGCGTACAATCTAAGGTCCCTAACCCTCAAGGGGCGTACAATCTAAGGTCCCTAACCCTCAAGGGGTGTACAATCTAAGGTCCCTAACCTTCAAGGGGCGTACAATCTAAGGTCCCTAACCCTCAAGGGGCGTACAATCTAAGGCCCCTAACCCTCAAGGGGCGTACAATCTAAGGTCCCTAACTCACATTCATACATACACATACTAGGGCAAATTTAGACAGGAGCCAATTCACCTCCCAGCATGTCTTTGGAGTGTGGGTGGAAACCGGAGTACCCGGAGGAAACCCATACAGGCACAGGAAGAACATGCAAACTCCAGGCAGGTGGTGTTGTGGTTGGGATGTAGCATGTAGCTTTCAGCCTGGGTTCACATATATGCGGTGCGTTATATTGCATGTGATTCGCACAGGAACCGCCCTGCATTCGTACATTTTGTATGGCTCTAATCACACCGCACCAAAAAACACGCAGAACCCTCTTTTTTTGGTCCGCACTAGAATCGGATGGCACGGGTATTCACACCTATGCGATCCCATTCTGCACATCGCACCACATTTTGCAGACTGCTTTCGGGGTGTTGTTAACTTAACATACACACCCGCATCGGTTCGCATGAACGGGGTGCGATTCTGATGCGGTGCGGAATTCGCACAGAAAACGCTGGGAATTCCGCACCGCATCAGTGTGAACCAGGACTAAGGTTACGAAGACAAGACTCTGCACATTAAAAGCAAACGCCTTTGCCATATGTCAAAATACTTCTATGTGTTTGTTGCTCGGCTGTGTTGTGACAGTGCGTGTTGATCGGTCTTGCACTGTTTATGCGCAGCATTTGGTTGGCACGGGATTACGTAATGATGGTAAAATTAGACCGGGGACGGAATGCTCTGTAAGCTGCCCCTATTGATTCCGCAGGGCACCCTGTACTCTGTCCTCCCTGTCCTATCACTACATTAGAGCCCATTCACATGACTGGAAAACAGTGCGACTTGAAGTGTTTGTCTTTTTTTTTTCACATAGCAGCCATATTTGTATCTGAAATGTCCACAGAACAATGTATTTTCATCCAGATACCTTATTTATTTATTTCAGGTACTTTATATTCACCATCAATGTACGCAGCACTTTACATATATATTGTACATTCACATCAGTCCCTAACCCTCAAGGGGCGTACAATCTTCCCTAACCCTCAAGGGGCGTACAATCTAAAGTCCCTAACCCTCAAGGGGCGTACAATCTAAGGTCCCTAACCCTCAAGGGGCGTACAATCTAAGGTCCCTAACCCTCAAGGGGCGTACAATCTAAGGTCCCTAACCTCAAGGGGCGTACAATCTAAGGTCAGACCCTCAAGGGGCGTACAATCTAAGGTCCCTAACTCTCAAGGGGCGTACAATCTAAGGTCCCTAACCCTCAAGGGGCGTACAATCTAAGGTCCCTAACCCTCAAGGGGCGTACAATCTAAGGTCCCTAACTCTCAAGCGGCGTACAATCTAAGGTCCCTAACCCTCAAGGGGCGTACAATCTAAGGTCCCCAACCCTCAAGGGGTCTCTAAGGTCCCTAACTCTCAAGGGGTGTACAATCTAAGGTCCCTAACTCTCAAGGGGCGTACAATCTAAGGTCCCTAACCTCAAGGGGCGTACAATCTAAGGTCCCGAACCCTCAAGGGGCGTACAATCTAAGGTCCCTAACCCTCAAGGGGCGTACAATCTAAGGTCCCTAACCCTCAAGGGGCGTACAATCTAAGGTCCCTAACCCTCAAGGGGCGTACAATCTAAGGTCCCTAACCCTCAAGGGGCGTACAATCTAAGGTCCCTAACCCTCAAGGGGCGTACAATCTAAGGTCCCTAACCCTCAAGGGGCGTACAATCTAAGGTCCCTAACTCACATTCATACATACACATACTAGGGTCCAATTTAGACAGGAGACAATTCACCTACCAGCATGTCTTTGGGGTGTGGGAGGAAACCGGAGTACCCGGAGGAAACCCACGCAGGCACAGGGAGAACATGGTCTTGTAGTCTTCTGGGACCTTTCAATTCCCCCCCAAACACAAATCCACCCAATCCCCCTTCCTAGCACAAATCCCCCCTCCTAGCAGAACCCCTCCCAATCCCCCCTCTTAACACAATCCCCCCCCCCAACATAAATCCACCCAAAACCCCCCCCTCCTAACACAAATCCATCCCATTCCCTCTCCTAACACAAATCCACCCAATCCCCCCTCCTAACACAAATCCCCCCCCTTCCCTCTCCTAACACAAATCCACCCAATTCCCCCCTCCTAACACAAATCCCCCCATCCCCTCCCTAACACAAATCCCCCCAATTCCCCCCTCCTAACACAAATCCCCCCCCCCCCCTCTCCTAACACAAATCCCCCCCCCCATCCCCTCTCCTAACACAAATCCCCCCCATCCCCTCTCCTAACACAAATCCACCCAAATGCCCCCTCCTAACACAAATCCCCCCATCCCCTCTCCTAACACAAATCCACCCAATTCCCCCCTCCTAACACAAATCCCCCCCATCCCCTCTCCCAACACAAATCCACCCAATTCCCCCCTCCTAACACAAATCCCCCCATCCCCTCTCCTAAAACAAATCCACCCAATTCCCCCCTCCTAACACAAATCCCCCCCAATCCCCCCCTCCTAACACAAATTCCCCCCAATCCCCCCTCCCAGCACCAGCCCAATGGCCATAGCTGCGCCCTATGCGGCTGCCTAGTTCGCCTAGTGGTATCACCGGCCCTGCATGTGCCATTTCATTATGTAAAACTAGAAGTTTTGTTTTTCACATTTTAGAATGGGGTGCCTGGAGACTAGGCAAGATTTTAAGGGGTGCCTTGAACAAGGAAGGTTGAAGAATTCTGGTACAGATACAGTTTCTCTGAATCCATCACAATCTGATTGTTCTATACGGGAATTGATAGGTTCTTGATATTCTAGACTCGAGGAAACAAGAAAGGTCATCAGTTCCATCTGGGAAATGCATTTTCTTTTTTTTCTTTTTTGCCAAGAAGGCGGACCTGAATTTCACAAATGAACGCCGAATGTCAAGTTAAATCTCATATATCTTTCTTTAGGTGGCTGTGAAGTCCATCCAGAAAGACAAGATCACGGATGAACTGGACAGGGTGCACCTTCAGCGGGAGATAGAGATCACGGCGCTGCTGAAACACGAACACATCATTCAGGTCTTCGAAGGTCAGTGCAAGCCTGGGGCACATGTCATCCCGAACATATCACATACACAGGCTTCCCTGAATGCTTCACTCACTAGGATTAAGGCGGCTTTCACACTGACCAGTTTTTGAAGCTTTTTTTGTGTTAACCCCTCGCCTACCGGACTCTTCTACCCCCTTCCTGCCCAGGCCAATGTTCAGCTTTCAGCGCTGTCGCACTTTGAATGACAATTGCGCGGTCATGCAATGCTGTACCCATATGACTTTTATAATTTTTTTTTTTACACAAATAGAGCTTTCTTTTGGTGGTATTAATCGCCGCTGGGTGTTTTATTTTTTGTGCTATAAACAAAAAAGGAGCAAAAAATAAAAAACGATTTTTTTTTCTTTGTTTCTATTATAAAATTTTGCAAACAGGTAATTTTTCTCCTTCACTGATGTGCGTTGATGAGGCTGCACTGATGGGGACTGATAGGCAGCACTGATGGGCACTGATAGGCAGCATTGATGGGCACTGATGAGGTTGCACAGATAGGCAGCATTGATGGGCACTGATAGGCGGCATTGATAGGCGGCACTGATGAGCTTGCACTGATGATGCTGCACTGATAGGTGGCACTGATGGTCAGCACTGTTGGGCACTGAGGGGTGGCACTGATGGGCACTGATGGGTGGCACTGCTGGGCACTGGTGGGTGGCACTGCAGGGCACAGGTGGGTGGCACTGATGGTCACAGGTGGGTGGCACTGCAGGGCACAGGTGGGTGGCACTGATGGGGGCACAGGTGGGTGGCACTGCAGGGCACAGGTGGGTGGCACTGATGGTCACAGGTGGGTGGAACTGCAGGGCACAGTTGGGTGGCACCGCAGGGCACAGGTGGGTGGCACTGATGGGCACAGGTGGGTGGCACCGCAGGGCACAGGTGGGTGGCACTGATTAGCACATGTGGGGGGCACTGCAGGGCACAGGTGGGTGACACCGCAGGGCACAGGTGGGTGGCACTGATGGCACAGTTGGGTGGCACTGATGGGCACAGTTGGGTGGCACCGCAGGGCACAGGTAGGTGGTACTGATGGGCACAGGTGGGTGGCACTGCAGGGCACAGGTGGGTGGTACTGATGGGCACAGGTGGGTGGGTGGCACTGATCATCAGTGCCCTGATGATCAGTGCCGATCCCTTCGCTGACAATTGCTGGTTCTCAGCAGTAAAGTGCAGCCGATAACCAGCAACTGTATTTACCGGTGATCTGCTCTGTCATTGGATACAGCTGATCACGTGGTAAAAGGCCACTGTATCATGTGATCAGCTGCTTCCGTAGGACACAGTGATCACTGGGGGCGCCGGGTGCACGCCGCTGGGGCGCGTTCTGGAATGAGGTCCATGGATGTCACCCCAGAATTACACAAATGTGCTGTAGCTGTCCTTCGGCTATAGTGCGGTTGGGAACTGGTTAAAAAAAGCGCCTGAAAAGCTCAAGAAAAAAGCCACCATCAGATTACAGAACGCACGAAAATTCCGATTTTCTAAATAAAATTCGACCCGTTTGGCCGGCATTCGGGTCGAATTCCGAACAGATTTTCTTTAGAAAATCAGAAACTTTGTGCGTTTTGTAACCCGATGGTGCCACCATTGATTTGATTCAGCCAACCAAGCCTTCAATTTCCCCTCCTGTTGCTACAGAAACGAATTTTCGTGGCCAAGAATTTTCTTTTCTTTCCAGGTCACGGCTCATTTCTTTTTCGTTTACATTTCTTGCACGATTCTCCCATCATCGATTCGAAATTTGTTTGTTTTTTCAAAAAATGTCCAACATGCCCGATCACTCAAATTCAATGGTCGCTCAAAAATTGGGCGTTTCTGTGACCCACTAATGGTGTGAAATTCGAAAGAAGATTCTTAGAAAAGATTTTCGAAAGAAGATTCTTTCGGGATTAAAAACTGCACCAAAAATGCTACTCAGAGGCGCTTTTGAGGTGTTTTTGTTTATTTCAATGGGAAGAGGAGTTTTTGGGGTGTTTTTTTTAACTCACCAAACATGCCCCAAAGATACTGCAAGCATGAGTTTTTACACCGCACCGCAAGCGCAACGCCTCCGTGTGAAAACATGCATAGATGTACATAGAAGCGTTTTTCTTGAGCTTTTCAGGCTCTTTTTTGGGTTCACATATATACGGTGCGGTATATCACATGTGATTCACACAGGAACCACACCGCATTCCTAACAGATCACATGCGAATTGTGTGCAGTGCGATCAGAGACGTACATTTTGTATGGCTCTAATCGCACCGCACCAGCACCAAAAACATGCAGGACCCTTTTTTGGGCCCGCACTAGAATCGGATCGCATGGGTATTCACACCTATGTGATTCGATTCTGCACATCGCACCGTGTTTTGCGGACTGCTTTTGGGGTGTTGTTAACTTAACATACACACCCGCATCGGTTCGCATGAACAGGGTGCGATTCTGATGCGGTGCGGAATTCGCACAGAAAACGCTGCAAATTCCATACCGCATCAGTGTGAAACCGGGCTAAAAGTAGCCTTGGTGGTCTCCTTTTTGTATGGAGACAAGTGTCTGTTATAACAGCAGATGACTGACACGCAGCCAATGACTGACACCTGGCCAATGACTGACACCTGGCCAATGACTGACACCAAGCCAATGACTGAAACCTAGCCAATGACTGACACCTAGCCAATGACTGACACCTGGCCAATGACTGACACCTGGCCAAGCCAATGACTGAAACCTAGCCAATGACTGAAACCTAGCCAATGACTGACACCTGGCCAATGACTGACACCAAGCCAATGACTGAAACCTAGCCAATGACTGAAACCTAGCCAATGACTGAATGACCTGGCCAATGACTGACACCTAGCCAATGACTGACACCTGGCCAATGACTGACACCAAGCCAATGACTGAAACCTAGCCAATGACTGAAACCTGGCCAATGAAACTGGCCAATGACTGAAACCTAGCCAACAACTGACACCAAGCCAATGACTGAAACCTGCCAATGACTGAAACATGCCAATGACTGAAACCTAGCCAATGACTGACACCAAGCCAATGACTGGCACCAAGCCAATGACTGAAACCAAGCCAATGACTGACACCTAGCCAATGACTGACACCAAGCCAATGACTGACACCTAGCCAATGACTGAAACCAAGCCAATGACTGAAACCAAGCCAATGACTGACACCTGGCCAATGACTGGCAGGTAGCCAATGACTGAAACCAAGCCAATGACTGACACCTAGCCAATGACTGACACCTTGCCAATGACTGACATGTAGCCAATGGCTGACACCTGGCCAATGACTGAAACCTAGCCAATGACTGACACCAAGCCAATGACTGACACCAAGCCAATGACTGAAACCTGGCCAACGACTGACACCTAGCCAATGACTGAAACCTAGCCAACGACTGACACCTAGCCAATGACTGACACCTGGCCAATTACTGGCACCAAGCCAATGACTGAAACCTAGCCAATGACTGACACATAGCAAATGACTGACACCTGGCCAATGACTGACACCTGGCCAATGACTGACACCTGGCCAATGACTGGCACCAAGCCAATGACTGAAACCTAGCCAATGACTGACACCAAGCCAATGACTGAAACCAAGCCAATGACTGATACCTAGCCAATGACTGACACCAAGCCAATGACTGACACCAAGCCAATGACTGAAACCTAGCCAACGACTGACACCTAGCCAACGACTGAAACCTAGCCAAAGACTGAAACCTAGCCAATGACTGACACCTAGCCAACGACTGACACCTGGCTAAGGACTGAAACCTAGCCAATGACTTACACCTAGCCAATGACTGAAACCTATCCAATGACTGACACCTAGCCAATGACTGAAACCTGGCCAATGACTGAAACCTATCCAAAGACTGACAACTATCCAATGACTGACACCTGGCCAATAAGAGACACTTAGCTGTCCATGCTTAAGCCAGTTAATGATCACTAATTACACTGCAAATGGAATCCTGACCATGACACCTATCAAGGAGGTTTAGGTTCCGTTCACAGCTATGCAGTTTGCTTTTTGTCCATTTTGCAGTGCTTTTTCGCAGTTCATTTTGCTTTTTGCTACATGCGTTTTTACCGCATTTTGTTCAGCTTTTTTTTTTTTTTTTGAAAGTGGATTTTTTTTTTTGCTGCACAGAATAAAGATGCAAAATGCTGCAAATGCGCACTACCATGCATTTCAGAAGCTTCTCCATTGAACTCTATTGAAGCAAAAACTCAGCTTTTTTGCTTTTAAAAACGTCCCCAACCCTTTCCAAAAACGCAGCGGCTCAAAAAAGCATCAATGTGAACGTGTCCCATAGGAAACCATGTTACATGGACTGTAGGGTGTTTCTGCAAAAAGCACTAAAACACACACTGGTACTGAGCCGTACAGCACATGCTTGGCTTTACTAGAACAATGCGCACAAAGCAAAATCAAAGTAGAGAACTACTTGTCTGTTGGGGGTGGTTGTGCCAGAAAAATATAAATTTTTTCTGGCAATTTCATCTCTAATTGTACATCAGTTTAATATGAGGATTAGAAGAGGAATGCAGAAAAGCCTACTTTAAATTCCCGAACCCTTTTTTTCTTAGTTTTATACATTGCAATGTGCAGATTCAACGATCAAACACCAAATGATTCCAGAATGTGGGTGGTGGAGCACTGGACTCCAAGTAGGGTGGCCACCTCATCCCTATAAAACCGAACACATAGTAATTACACGGGTTCTGTGGCTGATTAAGGTGGTAATTAAACTCACTTATGCAGGCCATACATGGGTCGAATTCCGAATTCATTTTCTTTTGAAAATCGGAAATTTTGTGCGTTTTGTAATGGTGCCACCATTGATTTCAAAATTCAACCAACCGAGCCTTCAATTTGCCCTCATGTTGCTATAGAAAATAATTTTAGTGGCCAAGAATTTTCTGTTCTTTCCAGGTCACAGCTTTACATTTCTTGCACGATT